GAACAGGAATGAATTGACTAAGTCAGAGTTGGGTACAAATACAACCCTAGCAAACTGTACCCCATATGTGCTACCCCACTATGGCCTACAAACATGCATCAGCTATAATAATCTGACACAGCGCGCTTCCTCACACTGAGAGCTCAGTGCGCTTCCTCACACTGAGAGCTCAGCGCGCTTCCTCACACTGAGAGCTCAGCGCGCTTCCTCACACTGAGCTCAGCGCGAATCCTCACTCTGAGAGCTCAGCGCGCTTCCTCACACTGAGCTCAGCGCGCTTCCTCACACTGAGAGCTCAGCGCGCTTCCTCTCTCTGAGAGCTCAGCGCGAATCCTCACACTGAGAGCTCAGCGCGCTTCCTCTCTCTGAGAGCTCAGTGCGCTTCCTCACACTGAGCTCAGCGCGCTTCCTCACACTGAGAGCTCAGCGCGCTTCCTCTCTCTGAGAGCTCAGCACGCTTCCTCACACTGAGAGCTCAGCGCGCTTCCTCACACTGAGAGCTCAGCGCGCTTCCTCGCACTGAGAGCTCAGCGCGCTTCATCACACTGCGAGCTCAGCGCGCTTCCTCACACTGAGAGCTCAGCGCGCTTCCTCACACTGAGAGCTCAGCGCGCTTCCTCACACTGAGAGCTCAGCGCGCTTCCTCACACTGAGAGCTCAGCGCGCTTCCTCACACTGAGCTGAGCGCGCTTCCTCACACTGACAGCTCAGCGCGCTTCCTCACTCTGAGAGCTCAGCGCGCTTCCTCACACTGAGCTCAGCGCGCTTCCTCACACTGACAGCTCAGTGCGCTTCCTCACTCTGAGAGCTCAGCGCGCTTCCTCACACTAAGAGCTCAGCGCGCTTCCTCACTCTGAGAGCTCAGCGCGCTTCCTAACACTGACAGCTCAGCGAGCTTCCTCACTCTGAGAGCTCAGCGCGCTTCCTCACACTGAGAGCTCAGCGCGCTTCCTCACACTGAGAGCTCAGCGCGCTTCCTCTCTCTGAGAGCTCAGTGCGCTTCCTCACACTGAGCTCAGCGCGCTTCCTCACACTGAGAGCTCAGCGCGCTTCCTCACACTGAGCTCAGCGCGAATCCTCACTCTGAGAGCTCAGCGCGCTTCCTCTCTCTGAGAGCTCAGCGTGCTTCTTCAGTCTGAGAGCTCAGCGCGCTTCCTCACACTGAGAGCTCAGCGCGCTTCCTCACACTGAGAGCTCAGCGCGCTTCATCACACTGCGAGCTCAGCGCGCTTCATCACACTGCGAGCTCAGCGCGCTTCATCACACTGCGAGCTCAGCGCGCTTCATCACACTGCGAGCTCAGCGCGCTTCATCACACTGCGAGCTCAGTGCGCTTCCTCACACTGAGAGCTCAGCGCGCTTCCTCACACTGAGAGCTCAGCGCGCTTCCTCGCACGATATCATCCTTGCATTTCGACGGGAGTCCGGAGTCCGCGCCTCAGACTCCACTTCTCATGAGCAGAGAGAGAAATTGCGCGCGCTCGGGCTGCCCTTCAAAAGTGCGACGTGAGGGCAGGCCGGCTGCCCGGGCGCACGGCAGGACAGGCGGGAAACAGGTGGCCTGGCGCATGTGCCGGCAGCCGCTGCCCCCTTTTTTTTTCTTGTAATAAATCTGCTCTCATTTCCCCGTTGTATCGACAGTGAGGGTGCTGCTGCAGCTGAAGGAGGCGTTGGGCGTGTGGGTGGGCAACAGCAACGCCACCACGTTGTGCTCTGCATGGACTGGTGTCACCTGCAGCCCCAAAGGGCTCGTCGTTGCCCTGTGAGAATCGTTGCCGTGTGAGAATCGTTGCCCTGTGAGAATGATCGTCGCGTCGCCACTCGCTCCTGGTTGCTGATTTTTTTTGCTTGGTGTCGTGTTTGCCCTTTTTTTATCCTAATTGCCTCTCGTTGCTGATTGTTCGGCTGTGGTATATGGCATGGGCGTTTGCTCTTTATAACCTAGGGTTCGAATCCCAACTAGCCACGTTTTTTCCCTGAAATTGTGGTGGACCAATAACTGGAAATGTGGTAACCGAACTTCGAGATAGTCGAAGGGGCCGGACGTTTCTATGCCTCCCGGTACTCCGTCATTACTCCTCATTGGCCCTCTGACCTCTCCTTTCCCCCACATTGTAGTATCACTGTATCACCCTTCCACTGTCTGCTCCTCTTGGAATGACCGTGTTGGATTGTGTGTGTGAGAGTGGGAGCATTGCAATCTGGACAAGGGGGGGGATGGGTTGAAGGATGTGGGGGGTGGGATAGGGGAGGACTGGATATTTGAAGAAGGGAACTGGGGTGGGCGGGAGATGGGGGAGAAATGGGAGCTGGTTGGTATTGCGTGTGTTCATGCATTCGTGTGTTGGCATGGATTCACAGCTAATACAGCCTAATTGGAATTCCCCCCCTCCCTCCGTACCTGCCTCCATCACCCGTCTTTCCACTTTGCAACTCCTGTGTGTCACCGCACCCACCCACCCACCCACCCACCCACCCACCTAGGGATGAGCACGGGCCGGGCCGGGCCAAGCCCGGGTCGGGCCAGGCCGGGCCAGGCCCGGCCCGACCCGGGCCGAATGACCAAGACCCTGGCCCGAGCCCGCCCATTTCGTACTCGGGCCAGGGAGGCCCGACACGGGCCAAGCAAGGCCCGACCCGGGCCGGGCCGGGCCCGGCCCGGGTGCACTTTCGATAGAGTCACACATGATATTCGAAAACGGAATGCCTTCAATCTTAACATAATCTACGCTAAAACGCACTATTTCGTCACCCTTTCATAGAACCGTTTCTTTAAAACGGTTAACTATCACTAACTACTGAGGGATAGAGTATAAGTTAGGAAAACACATGGCGAGAAGCTAGGGGTAAGCTTGTGTTAGAGCTTGCGCAAACTGTCGCGCAGCTCAAATTTGACCCCCACGACATTTGCTGGGGGGGTCAAATCCCCGGGGAAAATATGCCACACGTAACGAACATGGGACTCGATAACGCGAGTGGTAAAAAAAAAACGCGTACGGTCACCCTATCGGGTAGGCTGACGGGAGTGGTAAGTGGGGTCACGGATTCAGTAACTAACAACAGGTGAAAAATCACGCGAATGGTCACACATGTAACTCCCGCCAAAAACTCCTGAAACTCTACAAAATTCCCGCTCGCGTTGAACCAATCACCTAACTTCGGAAAAAACTAAAACCCAATCGGAATCGGATGCGGTTTGGGAACGGATCAACCCTAAACACCTAGCGAATTGTGTTTAGGGTTGATTCATCCGAAAATGCATCCAGGTTCGTTTTGGGTATTATCTTTTTTAGGCGGGAATTTCATGTGTGACCATTCGCGTTTTTTTTCCCCAGTTGATTGTGACTGATTCCGTGAAACGTGTTATCAAACACGTGAAAACACCCTTTGCTTTGACCGTACCCGTTAATTTTTTACTACTCGCATTATCGAGTCCCATGTTTGTTACTTGCGACATATTTTCCCCAAATCCCCGCGTGATTGAGATTTGACGAAATCGACTCGAATCTCAAATTATGCCAACAAAACACAACAGAAACCGGATTTCACCGCACTGAATCTAGAATTTCCAACCAATCCATCAATTTCCAACCCAGGTCGACTAGATCTGGCCGCATTTGTTGACCTGAGATCTAGTCGACAGCATATCAACTCTTAGGGTTTACTCGACCAGCACGTCATTAGCTTATAAGTAGTGTTCACTAAGCGAATTGTCGCAAGGAAAATAGGCGGGCTAGAACAGCCCGACCCGTGCCGCGCTTCGAATCGGGCCGGCCCGGCCCGGCCCGAAATTGGCGGGCCAAACTCGGGCCGCCGACGGCCCGCCGGGCCGGTCCGGCCCGGCCCGCTACGGGCCGAAACCCAAAATCTGAGGCCCGGCCCCGGGGCAATTCCGGGCCGGCCCGATGCGGGCCGGGCCCAGCCCGGATTTTTGCTCATCCCTACACCCACCCACCCACCCACCCACCCACCCACCCTCCCACCCACCCACCCTCCCACCCACCCACCCTCCCACCCACCCACCCACCCACCCACCCACCCACCCACCCACCCACCCACCCACCCACCCACCCACCCACCCACCCACCCACCCTCCCACCCACCCACCCTCCCACCCACCCACCCACCCACCCACCCACCCACCCACCCACTCACCCACCCACCCACCCACCCTCCCACCCACCCTCCCTCTCCCTCCTCTACCTCCATCTTTCATGCATTGCATCTACCAAACCTTTCCTTCGTTTGCCATGGCCTCGCACCAACCTCGTACTGCTCTGTCCTTCCATCTCGTTCTTGCATTCACATGCCACAACCTCTTCCCGCCCTTGCATGCCTCCCTTGCGCACTAGCCACACCACAAGCTGCAAAGCTTAATGCCAGCCACAACTTGTGAGGCGCCTCAAAAGTTGCAAGACTTAAATGCCAGGCACAGATTTCAAGGCTCCAATTTACCACTGCTGATCTCAGGCTTCCTCTCGCCATCTCTACTGCTGTTCATGCGCTCCCATCCCATCCCACAGTGATCTGACCTACTTTTATCTGTTCGGGCCCATTCCATCCCTCGCCAGTCTCACTGACCTCACACACCTGTGAGTGTTGCTTTTCCATTGTTCCAAACCAGGTTAACTGAATGTTGGACCCTGCCCTGCCCAATATGCCCATCTACCACCCTCCTTCACTCCTCTGCACCCCTCATCCTGCTCTTTCCAGCTTGATTGATCGTTGTTCCTGCAAATTTTTTAAAACTGGAGTTATTTCCCTTCCCTACCACAACTATCATTTCCTGTCTCTTTTCTCACACCGTTCATTACCAATCGCTTGTACACGTGCTCGTGGAGTCCCCGTTTATTCCAAATAATATTATCCTTATTTCCCCTACCTAAACCCTGCATCCCCATGCCTGCGTGGCTGCCCCATGTGGTCCCATGCCCCACTAACTGTACCACGTACACCCTTCAAATGTACTGTTGCTGCTTGCATGCCCCATGTGCACACAGAGCTTTTGGGTCGGATGTTCGTAGCAGTTTCATCACTAGTGGTACTAGTGGTCTCACTGGCACTCTGGACGGACTGGCATGGCTCTCCTCCCTCACCAACCTGCAAATATTGTACTTCACGCAATGCAAACACAGTTCGCCTTACGAGCCGATGTTATTCCTGCGAGCAATCACTGTCACTGTCACTCTTCTTCCACTTTGCCATCCAGCCTCGCTGTCTTAGTTTAGCAATCGCCTTTAGATGTCGTTAGGGAAAAAATGTGGCTGGAGAAATTTCTGAAATTTCAGTTACATGTTGTTCAAAAACAGGGAATTGCACAATTTCACTTAAACAAAACATTTCAAGCAATTAGCGTCTTGTGCAAAGGAGTTGGGAGTCTCGTGTAATGCGTCTGCCGCATTTAGCCACGTGCCGTAAGGTGGAACCGGTTTCACTAACCAACCCTGAAACAAAAACTGACATGTGGCGTTTGTACCAAGCATGGCTCAATTGCGGTTGGACATTTAGGTTGAGGCAAACTGCTTCTCCTTCGTTTTCCGTCCAGCCCCACCGTTCTAGCTTTACTAGATTCCGCACATTGTTGACTTTACCCACCCACCCTAGCATTGTTCTACCAACCCTAGGTTAAGTGCTCAGGTGGGTAATAGGGTAGCGGCGAACCACCCTAACACGGAGCACGCCACATCGTGCGATGCAGCAGTCCCCATGCTGCTACGTTACACTATCTGCAATGGCTTCTCCCATGTCGCAGGGATTGGGTTCGCCCATCCGCCGAAACTAGTTTACGCAAGGAGTCAAAGCAGTCCCCATGCTGCTACGTTACACTATCTGCAATGGCTTCTCCCATGTCGCACTTCCCTTTCTTCAACCAGGAATCTAGAGTACTTGCCATTTACAGGGGACCTGTCCTCCCTGCACATTCTTTCCCACCTGAGAAGCCTACATCAGCTGTAAGCATCATTGCGATACAAGAACGTACGGGACGGGGGTGGCACTTTTGAGAATTCTCAAAAGTGATTCCCAAATGGTGGCTCCTTGTTCCTATTCTTAATCTGCATGTCACCATGTGATTTGTTCCTTCCATCCATACCAGCTCACGATTGCCAATGGTAGTTCTTTCATTATTGCTGATTACATGTGCATGACCACAGGCATGTCAGTCGCCTCTTCAACGCCACAGGGGAGATACCCAGAGAGCTTCAATACCTGACTGCCCTCACTGCACTGTAAGCTCTACTCTACTCAAGTCCGATGGGACAGGTGAAGCGGATTGGTTGGTGTGCACGAGTAACACATCCCCATCTCCATCTCCATCCCCATCTCCATCCCCATCCCCATCCCCATCCCCATCCTCATCCCCATCCCCATCCCTATCCCCATTCCCATCCCCATCCCCATCCCCATCCCCTCGCCGGACATGACTGCAGCTCCATTGGCTTGTCTACGTGACGTGCTCTGCTCCTGCTTTCCTCCCTGCTGCAGGGATCTATCCAACCTTCAATTTGTGGAGTTCCCCATTTGGGTCACTCGACTCACCAACCTTCAGTATCTGTGAGCTCCAGGGTTTAGGGTTTAGGGTTCTTCCTACTTCACCCTCCTACTTCACCCTCCTACTTCACTCTCGAACTCCACCATTGTCACACACGAACACCGCCGTTTGCCGAACCGAACACTGTTCGGTTCGGCGAACACTTTGAGCAAAAAATGGTGTTCGCCGTTCGCCTGTGAAGGCGTGTTCGAGCGAACCTCGAACACGTTCGTGTTCGTCGCGGGGCAAATTGCAGCAGCGGCTCGAACACGAACGTGTTCGGGCGAACATCGAACACTGTTCGGCGAACAATTTAAGCCAAAAAAAAACACGTTCGAGGCGAACCGAACAGGTGTCCGTTTTTTTGCTCAACCCTAGTTGTCACACACACGCCACATCCCCATTGTCACACCACGCCACATCCCCATTGCCACACACACGCCACATCCCCCACGACACGAGGCACGGGGATGACCACGCGTGCCATGGCAATGGCTGTGATTGGGCTGCTCTGAGTGCGCTGGATCTCGCCGGCATCTTCTTGTGCGCAGGAACGTGTATTCAAACTATCCACACCGGCAGGGGCGATTGCTGAATGCTGACCTCTCTCAGCTCACAGCACTCACCTTCCTGTGAGTTTAGTGTGGCTTTAGATTGGTGAGGATCCTTAGCATCAGCTCTTCAGGAATCGGGTTTCTTTCTTACTCGTTGAAAGCTAGTACGGCTAGGGTGTTGGGAAAGCAGCTAGGGTGCTGGGAAAGAGCTAGGGTGTTGGGAAAGCTGTTAGGGTGTTGGGAAAGCTGTTAGGGTGTCGGGAAAGCTGTTAGGGTGTTGGGAAAGCAGCTAGGGTGTTGGGCAAGGTTGAAAATTTCGCTAGGCGAAACTTTCGCTTCGAAAGTTTCGCCCGAAAATTTCGCTCGTATTTTCAATATTTCAGCGAAATTTTGTTAGGACACAAGGAAAAATAAAAAAACCAAAAAAGGGCGAGGCGAGGGCCAGAAACATTGTCGTGACTCCAGTATCCACTTTAAGCGCATAGGACAGGGAGAACTAGGCAGGTTGCCCTGATGCAGTAGCCTGAAGTTGAGAGATAAGCGTAATCAATTGATAAGACTAAGGGCACTACCAACTAAGCTCGACGAATTCGCGACGAGCCCTAGCTTATCAATGCTGGAAATTGGCTTTCCCGCAGCATGAGATCGTCGCGTTTTGTGCATCCAACCTATTTCTATCTCTAAACCGCGTATTACCGCTCTGGATCTAGGAAACCCAACCCACCCAATTTTACGTTTGGGCTGAGGGGGCCTTTCCCAATTATATACACACGGGTGACGTCATCACATGCCGCCCCGCCCGCCCTGGCAAATTCGAAATTCGGGCCAAAACGAAAAACCCGCGGAATCCCTCCGGGCCCCCGAAATTCCCCGGCTGACCAGGCAAAAAAAACCCGCCGAAACCCGCGGGTTCAATGTCGTATTCTTATGCCCATATATATGTCGGCCGTACTGTTGCAATTTCGGGGACATTTGTCGAACAGTGCTCGACGGACATTGGCCAATCGCCGTCGAGCACCGTGCACCCCCGACAACACTGGTTACACCCGGTGGCAAGTCGCCAGGGAATCGCCTACACGGTGGCGTCGACGGTCGACGGTTGCGAAACGTGTTTCGCAACCGGCCGACGGTCGCAATCGACGGAGACGTCAACTGCGGCCGACCTGTCGCCTCGTCGGTCGAGCGAACTGTCGCTGTCTGGTGGGTCACATCAGTCGCATTCAAACGGTCACGTCAACTGCTGACTGCCACGTCAAATGTCTCAGTCTCCACGGGGAGCAACATCAGCCCAATGTCGCTGTATAAACCTGAATTCATAGTATAAGCACCGCTTTCTCCTCAGCACGCCAGGATCTAGGGACAACTGGTAGTTTTCGGTGGGCACTGATGGAGACCGATCCGTCGACGACAGCGCCTTCCCGGGAGGCGGACGTAGGACGCACACCTGTCGAATTGGAGTCCACATCGACACCACCCCCTTCGTCGTTTGGAGACAGGCCTGTTTCTTCCGCGCCCCCTTCGACGACGCGTGCCATACCGGAGGTGGCAGCGCCCACCTCGACGTCGCGAGCCATACCGGTAGTAATACAGCCGGTTGTTACGGACCAGCGTTCGACGGGTATTCCGGTCACTGTTGAAGTGGGTGGTGCACAGACCAAATTCCCTTCGACAGGTCAATCCATACCTGTTGTCGTAGAACCCATCTCGACAACAAATGCCCCCTTTACACACGAGGCTCCAGCTCACCGTGCACCATCGTCGACAGCCCACCGCTCGACGGAACCTTCGGCTGGTGCACCGACCTCGACAGGTGGGCGACGTAGGAGAGCGAGGGCTGTTCCGCCTGAGGTTCGCCAACCACCCCCAGCCCGCACATCCACTTCGACGAGACCAAGCAGAGAGGACTTAGCCAGGAACGTCCCTGAAGCGACGGACGATGAGGATGTTCGGACGGGAGAAGAGCAGGAGGCGGACGATGTCGAACCGCCGGACCCTTTGTGCCCTGCTGCGGCAAATATATCAGAGGAGGATGCCGCGCACATTCTCGGCGACCAGCCGGGCGCAGACAATCCGTACTTGGCGACCGGAACACTTAAAAGCAGGATTCTCCGGTGTGAGGTTCCGCTGCTGGGAGTTGACCAGGATTCCACACGGCCGAACTATGTCTCTGGAAGCATGCACTACAAAGCTTGGGCCTGTAAAATTCTGGCACCCGAGAGAAGCAACGGAGTGCCTAAAGAGGAGCAGGTGATCTACGAGGACGAGATCGGTAGGGAGATCGGCGACGATATGGGGCCGAGATGGAGAGAGGCGCTGCGTAACGAGGAGCACCTGCATGGGCCGAAAATAACGAAATGGCGCTTGCGCGCGTACGTCGAATACATGTCGACTGAAACCGACCAACAGGCGGCATCGTTGGACACAGGCCGGTCCAGAGTCGCTGGAAGGAAGGCGAAAAAAAGCACCCCTCCGATGATGCTGGCGCGCCTTACTGCGCTGACGTGCTTCTGCAGAGTAGAGGCCATACTCTTCGACGAGCCACTCACGAAACCCTTGGACGACATCACCGAGGCCCGGCAGCTTCTTGCGGTCAAGCTGCGGCAGCTGCACGACTTTCAGTTCGAGTAAGTAGGCTGCCATACACCGGAATCTAAAACTTTTCACTCAAATTCTCACCCAACTACTTGCTGTATCTGCCCACCCAATGCAGGCAGTGCGTCGATCCACACCGGGGCTCGCTCGACGATGTTTACACGGAGGAGCAGTTCCGCATTCTCGTTTCAGACATCCTGCCGTACTGGGCCAAGGAGTACTTTCGGGAGTCGATGAGTTTCCCCAGTCAGTCGCTGTGGAGGGCCTTGGCCGTCAGGGTGATGATCCTGATGGCGCATCACATGCTGGGCAGGGGGATAAGCATCCGCGAGATCCGCTACTGCAATATGTTCACTCACGTCCTTCCGCCCATCACGAACAGCAAGGGGGAATCGTCGATCCACGTTCTCGTGGTCGCCTATCGCAACTCGAAGACCATCAAAGACAACAAGCTCGGCCACCTGTACCTGACTCGACACATGGACTTCCGGCAGTGCGGCTTCGGAGCAGTGTTCATGTGGATACATTTCATTCTCGACCTTGTGCCGCTCTACTACAACAACGATAAGATCGTGCCCCCCTTGGATTTCAGCAACCCGGAAAACTGGTCAAAGAAGCACCTGTTCTTCGCCCTCTTCGACAAGGACAAGACCGAGTTGCCGTACGCGACTCATGCCAAATAGGTTACCTGGGCGATGAAAAGCGCGGAATGGATCCTGTCGAAAGTCACACATATCTTTCGACGGTCTGCGGCACAGATCCTCGCCGACAAAAACTGTGAACTCGACAACATCGCGCAGCTGGGTCAATGGGACATGAACGAGATGCGCAGGTCATACGTCACAGGCATCCCGCGCGGGGCCATCCAGCTGCAAGCGGGTTTCACGACGGAACCCGGTGACTATTACCTTGGAAGATCGAAGAGCGAAGTACCCGCTAAGGTCCTGAAGGCTATCGAGGAGCACATATTTCCAAAGGCGGAGCAGTGGCTCGACGAGGTATGGATGCGTCGAGCGCTTAGCGTGATCATCGAATGCAAGTTTTTGCATTCGATCTATCTCTCAATGTCACCAAGTTTGTTCTTGTTCAGGCGATGGAATGGAACAACGAGCAGGACAAGGAGCATATGTTCTTCGCAGCGAAAAGTTTCTTGAAGGCCCTGCAAGCCGCCCGAATGCCCATCGCCGAGGATCTTGCGATGTACTACGTCCATTGTGACGACCACCCCTTCGACGGAGTGACTGTTTGCGACTGCGAGCGTCACCCTTATGCACAGATGTCCGGTTTGTGCAAGGATATGAATTTCCAAAAATGGGCGCTTGACGTGTACCTGCTCGACAAGTACGGCATCGAGATGCGGACCAACCCCACGCTGTCGAGAGCCTCGGTAAGATGGACCTTATAAATCTTAATCCGAACAGATTGCATCAGCCCACTTACCTACCGCTCGTGATCTTATGCGCAGGACGCATCCTTTCAACTCAACACCAAGCACCTCATCACGCAACTTCGGGCAGAGGTCAACTTACACAAGGAGGAGGGTGGGAAAAAAGAAATCAAGATCAAGGGCCTCGAGCAGAAGGTCGAGTCATTGGAGCGGGAGAAGGGCGCGATGCAAGCGGAGTTGGAGGCGAAGGCAGAATCACTCGCGCTACTGCAGAAAGCGTTCGACGCACTGAAGATTACCGCCGCGACAACCGCAGCTGCGAATGTGGGGGGGAGCGAGAGTGTGCCGCAGACGGCGACCGAAGAAACCACCCCGCCACCACAGCAACCCCCTCAATCAACGCCCACTCAACAGAGCAAGGGCAGCCAGCTCGACCAAGCATTCTTCGACGCAGTGGTGTGGCCGTGGTGCAATTGCGAGACCGTGCGGCAGGCGTGGTCGTATTGGGACGGGCCAAGCCCGCTGAACAACGGACACAGTCTTCGACACGCTTACAGGAGGGGTTTCGCCGTCAAGTTCAGCAAGTTCACTCCGACTCCTCCCACCGTTCCCCCTGTTGCGGTGGACCAGCCAAAAGAAAAGCCACCGACCCCAAAAGCTGTCGAGTCGAGATTGCGGAAGATGGAGGTTGTCATGAGGGCCGTCGAGATGTTCAGGGTCGACGACAGCAGGGCGGCTACGTCGACGATCATTGATAAGCTTGACTCAATAGTCACGAACCACTCGATCAACATGCTGGCTGAAGGGCTCGTTCTCAAAGAGGATTCGGGGAAGCAGCTCACGAAGAAGCGCAAAGTCGAGACAGCAGAAGACAACCGGAAGGACAAAGATCGCCTCAGGATCACGCGGGAGCTCATTCGCGTCGAGCTTCGAACCACGAAATGGGCCGAGAACGTGTTCAAAGACAAATGGAAAGAGTTCATGAAAACATGGGGCGAGAGCCCAAGTTCGACAGCCAATCATGACGAGGGGCGAAACTAGAGTAGGGTGTTCTTTTAGAGATTGCATGGCAGGTTCTCATTACTGACCGACCATCTCGCCTGTATGAACCTTCTGAGCATTATCGCAAACGGAAATTCAAGATCCATGCAGCATGTACATTGTGTCGATTAAACTTTGGAAACAACAAGCACAACTGTCGAGAATAGCAAACACCCCCACGCAAAGTGCCCGCCTAGACTACTCCCCTTGCCCGCCCGTTTCCGTCTCAGCTGCATCCTCGTCGCCCTGCTTCGCCTTGCTCTTTTCTTCTGGCATAGCCAGGCTGCCATAGCCCGCGTCCTCCAGCAAGCGGGCAGCAGCTCGACAGCAGCACCATTGCGTATAGACCTGTGCTGCCACGCGCAGCATCTGCAGCAGTATGGCGTCCGTCGGGCCGAGACCTTCGACAGCCGACGAATACAGGTGATCGGGCCACTGCTTCGCCGGGAACGTCTTGCCGACGTGCAAAAGTATGGACACGAGTGCGGACATGGCAGCCACACAAGCCTTCTTTGCAGTCTCCGGGGCGTAGATCGCCGCGTTTGCGGCAGCTAGGGCATCCTTCTTAATATCCTCCCTCGACAACTTCCTGCTAGCCGCCCACAAGCTCGCCACAGTTGCTGCGATGGCCATCATGTGCGGTGTCGCCGCCATGCCCTTCGGGACCGGGTAAATCAGATTCCCGTGCTTCAGGCCAAGCGTCGCGACCTTACCAATCGCCACGCACAGCGCGATTCCCCTCTCGGTTCCAGCTTTCACTTCCTTTTTTGCCGTCGCCAACAGCGACAGGTAACTGCACATCGCAAGAAATGCGTTAGCCAAGAGGCCAGAATTCGACCGACAGCACATTCACCGCAAAACAGATGGTGTTCGACAATTCACCAAAACAGCAGGAACTCGACAGCAGAGTCTAGCAACATGACTTACTCGTCGAAACGACATTCCCCTTGTTCTTGCGCCACGCTCCAAACGCCGGTTGGCATTTCTGCGGCCGCATCGAGGTAGACCTTCCAGTCCTCCTCATCCTGCGCCGTGTACCCTTCGTACTCCGTAAGGACAACGTCGGGGAAGTACACGCGCCAGCAGACGGCCGTACAGAACTTCTGGTCCTTCTCTGTTTCAAAAGTGCCAAGGAACCGCTTCCTCCCGCCGACGGTCTGCTCGAAAACCGGCTTCCCCTTCCGCAACCCGAAACCCGGTCCTTTGAACGGACGTTTGCAGCCTCTCGTCTTGCCTTGGTCGTCCGGTCGAGGAGGTGGGGTGTGACCCGTGACCCTGGCCTTCTTCGCCTTTTCCTGTCGAGCAGCAACGACAATAGAGGTCTTCTCGACAGGCGCCTGACCAGGGACGCTGGCCAGCTCCACCACGTCAAGGCTCTCTGTCGCGTGTGCAGCGCGCTTCGACGACTTCGTCGCAGCCGGCTTCTTCTTCGACGTTGAAGGGGAGCCCGGATCGCTAAGACAAACGTTGCCTAGGGACGGAGCAGCGACGACAGGAGCAACTGGAGGGTTCGAGGAAGATGCCCAATTTCCCACAAGCCCGACAGCAAGGCCAGCACCACCGCCTTGCGCACCTGATGCCGCTTTAGTCTTCGACAGCAACCCAGCGCTTGCTTCTCCCGCTCCTTTCCCCGCACCGCCGCCTGACGGGGTAGAGGCACCTCGCATTCCTACAGCTCTGTTCCCGGTCGAGGCGACGTGCTCGTTCGGGGCACCACTTTTCTCCCCCGCGACCACTGCTTTCCCACCCGTTTTCCCCAGGCCTTGCAGCATGTCCCGCATCGAAGCAAACGCATCAGGTGGATCGATCGGAGCCGCTACGGAGGTCTTCGGGCGGGGCGACTGGTCGAGTACGATGACTTCCTCGACGGGCTTGGCGACGGGATGACGGCCACGCGCCGGTGGGGATCCAACCGGGCTGCCGACATGTCCTCCCACCGAAGAAGACGGAGGAACCGACCGCTCGTGACCACGAGGCTCAGCCCCGCTGCGAACCCCTCCCACACCCTCCTGACGCGACCTCGTCGACGGGCCCGTCGAGCGCTGAAAACCTCTCGCCATCGCTTCGGTGAGGACTTCCAACCTCCCTGCTTCGGCTTCATGGTAGCCTTCCCTCACAATGTCCTTCAGCTCCTTCATGGTCTCGGGTGGGAGGGTGGAGCAGAACATGTCCTCCATGATGGCTTTCTCGAAACCCTTCAGCACCGCAGCAACCAGCCGCTCCTCGACCTGCTTGAGCTGCTTCTCGACGGCGTCCTCGCTCGCTTTTGTGATGGCGGCTGCCACCCCCTCGATGATCTTCCCGCTCATCTCGTCGATCTTCGCCCGCGCCCCTTCCAACAGGTTCCTCTCTGCCGTGACACCCTTCACAGCCTCGGCGCACTACGACAGTGTGCTCTTCGACGACTCCGAAATCGTATTCCACGCCGTCCGAAAATCCGCAGCAAGCCTGTTGAATACTCCGGCTTGCTCAGTGTGTTTCGCAAAGACATCGGCGACGAGCTGCTTCTGCAACGCCTCGACTTTCTCGACCCTCTGCAGTACCTCGACGACCTGGCCTCCCAGTGCAACGTTCGCCGTCGATTGGCCTGCCGTCGAAGGCCACCCGGTCGAAGGGCCCGCCTGTCCGCTGCCACTAGCCGTGCGGTGACTCCTTGTTACGGCGGCCTGTCGCTCATCTCCTCGACGATACTCCTCAGCAGCCTCCCAGTCCTCCGGCTCCTGCCCTCCCGACCCACCCACCCGCGCAGCCGCAACCCTAAACGCCTGCTGCTGCACTCCTGCCCCACCCTCCTGCGCAGCCGCCACGCCCTCCTGCTGCTGCCCTCCTGCCCCGCCCTCCTGCGCAGCCGCCTCGCCCACCACCTGCCGCTGCCCTCCGACCCCACCCTCCTGAGCAGCCGCTCCGCCCTCCTGCTCCTCGACAGCCTTAGTTTCCCCTGTCGCCTGCTGCTCGATAAGCTCTACTCGCTCGTCCACCCGCTCCCCGAGCGCCACTCCGTGCTCCCCCGTACGCTCCGTTCTATGTCCGGCGCCCTCGCCGTCGTCCTCGGCCGACTCATCGCTCGAGCTCGAGCCGGAGCTCGTTCCCGAGCTTGAGTCCTCGTCCTGGTTCGCATCGCCGCCCGGGCCGCTCGCCCCGTGCTGAGCCTGCCTCGATGTATCCTCCTCGATCTCCTCCTCCTCCTCGACGCTATACTCAATCACGACGCGTCCCGTCTTCTCGCCTCCTCCCTCGTGGTCGGCACCCCCTCCCACACCTGCTCCCTCCGCCAGCTGGTCGATCTTTCTCGAAAACAGCTTGACCATGAACAACGGAAGCACACCCGGGCCAGGGTTCGTTCTCCCTAGATGCACGAGTTCGCCCTTTCGAGGCTGTAGGATGAAGTCGTCCCATTTCGTCAGAATCCGGCGCACCCCATGCACGACACGAGCTGCCGCGCCGCTTTGATAGGGGCTCGACAAGGCCGTCGTCGTCTGTGACGGGTACAAAACATACGTAAGCGACAAAACAGATGCTCGACGAAAACGCTGGTGGTCTAAGGAGAGCTTACCAGATGGTCGAAATCCTCGTTCAACTCCAGACGAAGGTCCATCACGTTCAACACTTCTTGGTCGCCCTCGGTCAGAGCCTGGTGGGTCATCGCGTACTCGGCGCGAAGCTGCTTCTTCATCCACCTGCGACGCAGCGGACAGAAGAGTAAGATTGTCGAGAACAGCAGCTCGACAGCAGGGTGGCAAAGCTGTCACTCACACGAAAACTTCTTGCGCCAGAGAAGATTGGTGGTTCATCTCGGGAAACTTGTCTTTCGAATCGAAGTGCATCATTCGAGTTCGACTGCCACGGTGCCTCGGAGCCAGCAGATCGTCGGGGCGCGATACCACAAACAGGCTCGAGTGGGAGAACGGAGGCACACTCAGTCTGCATGCAGAGCCAATGCACGTGAGAACGGGTTCAGGGCTAAAGACGGAGCACGCAAGGCGACGGGAGAGTAGGCGACGGTAGAGTGTCGAACTCACGGTGTCCGCAGCAGAACGAAAACCACTTGCTTGCCGAGGAGGCCGTCGAGGTGGTTGTTCGCAAAAGCGACCGGGGTGGGACGTGCCATCTCTTCACGCGCACGCGCCGGAGTCACGATCGACACCTTGGGGAGCTGCTCGACGGACAGCAGCTCATGACAGAACAGGCTGCACGGAAAGCTAAGGCAACGTCAGCGATTGGTAAATCCAAACATGGCAAACCGAAAATGTTCGACAGGACACGTACACGACGCCCGCGACCATCATGCTCTCGTCGAGCTCCCCTTTCGGCGCCTCTCTAATCGCATTTAGCTGGTCCTCGTACACCTCCACCTCGACCCCGCCTGCACTAAGGATGAGGCCGCGTCGAACCGTCGCCTCGTTCATGACGGGTACGGAGGCGGAGCTCGTAGCCATGTCAGGCCTAGCAGTGGAGAGGGCGGGCGCGCAGGGGAGTCGGGAACTAGCAAGGACTAGGAAGAAGGGAAGTAGAAATCGGAAACAGCAACAAAATGAGATCGGACGAAGGGTATTAGCTCCCTCCCACCGCGACGGACCAGGGGGGTTCAAGGGCGAGGAGGCAGGGCGCGTTCCGTTGACGCTGGAGGAGGAGGGAGGAGCTCTTCGCGGAGGCCAGCGGGGCCCTATTGGCGTCGACGTGAAACATGGTTGTTGGTTGCATGGGGTGGGCCGCCTTGCGTGCAGCTGAAAGGCCCCTTCCAAGGTTCGGGAGGGGGCGTTCGACACGTCACCAAGATCGTGCAGGTTGAACGAAACGGGCCCGTCTGGGGCGAGGGCGGTGGAGCGCGGCGCAGATGGGCGCCGATTTCGTCCGGCCGGCGAAATTTCGCCGACTGGTTCCGTCGGCGACGCGTCGCTCGGCGAGGGATGGGCGGGTTACCGGACGGAACCCGTCCACGAACCGAGCGAGGGGTTGGGCTCGGTCGGGAGGGGGACCACTGCCAGCTCGAGGGCGCGGGCTGCTGGCGTCATCGGCAGCTGGCGCCAGCTGGGGGTGCCCGTTTTCGGGCGGGAGGGGGGGGGTGGCTCCCGCCCCTCGCGTGCCCCGCTAGGCGACTGCGGGAAAACGAAAATCCCTCCGAGGAAAACCCGCAGGGGCGAACGGGTTTCCGCGGAGGGATTCGGGCGACGTCTTCCCAGATCTAGATCTAGATTCGACCCCCATTCAATCCTCGATTGCTAGCTGTCTTCTCCAGCGAGGTTTGAATATTTCGCCGAAAATTTCGCCGAAATTTTGCACCAAATGCAAGATTTGGAGACTCGGCGAAATTAACCGAAAGCTTCGGGCGAAAGCTTCGATGGCGAAATTTTCGCCCAAATTTTGAAAAATTCGCCGAAATTTTGAACCCTGGTGTTGGGAAAGCAGCTAGGGTGTTGGGAAAGCAGCTAGGGTGTTGGGAAAGCGGCTGACATGCAATGTAAGAGCGTGCCTCGTTAGAGGTGATATGCATTAGCGTACTGTGTTGGCCCACTCAGACCGTCTCTGTTTCCGCAACGCTGTCTCAAGAAAATCACTCATAATTTCTGCCCTAGATTCTCATGACTCCCACCAGTTAATACTCAGGCGTCCGTCTGTTGCCTGCTCTCACACTCTTCAGCATCCTTTATGGAAACAACCTGGAAGGCTACCTTCCCAATAGCTGGACCAATCTGGTCCACTTGCAAGATCTGTGAGTTACTGTTTACCATACCAACTTGCCATCCTGGTATGTTGCCATACCGAGATTCTCCCTACTGTGGCGTCTGGGATTGAGCAAGTATCAGAACCAACGAGGAGTCTTTGTTTGCCAAAAACTAGCGGAACGAGATGAACTTTTGCAGCCCTTGAATTGCTTCTCTAGGAAACCCATACTGCTCGAGCTGCGATGCGAACCTGGAATTGGATGTGCCTCACTTGCTTTGATTTGAAGGTTTCAAACGGTTCAACTCGAACCAGAACTGGTCTCTTACAGAAAGAAGGCAGCGTTTTCCTTTGCTTAAAGCCTAGCATCTCAGTGGCTCTCTAAACAACACACTCTTTCTTCTCTCTCTGTCTCTCTCTCTCTCTCTCTCTCTCTCTCTCTCTCTCTCTCTCTCTCTCTCTCTCTCTCTCTCTCTCTCTCTCTCTCAAGCAGTCATGCATTTATATGGGTCACAAGGTACAGGCATGGCAATGAACGTTACTAGCTTTCCTAGGTATTGGAGCAGCCAGGGAACCAGAACAAATCAATCAAACAAACAAACAAACAGAGCAAGCCCATCCATCCTGAAGCACCCCTAATTCTCAAAGGAGCCTGATCCCCAGTAACTCAGGGCCATGAGAACCCCCCCTTCTTCCAACTGTCCCCTGTCCCTCCCATACCACCACACAACTTCCCCTTATCCTCCTCGGACCCGCCACTTCCTCGCACCTTCCCTGAGACGCCCTTCCTTGTCTCTGTTCCCTCTAGCCCACCCCGGCCCAGCACACCCCCCCCCCCCCCCCCCCCCCCCTGTTTCTCACCGCGCCCATGTATCCCTCCCCTGCTGTCACCCAACCCCCTCCTGTCACCATGTTTCTATCTCCCCGGCCCCCTCAGGCCCCTCAGGCCGCCCTGGCAGGGGCGTGTCTCTCTTCATACTCGTCCTCCAGGGTCTGCCACAGGTCACCTAGCCTAGGTGCCCAAGGGTCCGCCGCTGTCTGTGGGAAAGCCGCTTCCGCTGCTCGGTTTGACTTGGAGAGTAGGGAGATTGCTTGGCTGCGCTGGAGCACCACGGACCACCGTTGCCTGAAGTGTGCATTAAGGCGGGCGGCGGTCGTCGTGAGGCGTCCTTTCCTGTACTTCGTCTTGGCGGCATAGTTGGCAAGCAAACGGATGAACTGCTGCGTGTCCTTAGCCAGGGCCCCGTAGGTCTCTACCGCTAGCCCAAAGAAACCGGAATAGCTAGGGCGGCCTTCGTAGAGCCTGTGCTTACCCTCGGAAGCTTCCTCCGCTGCCCACCCAGGCGGCTTCCTGGCTCCTTTGTCCCGCCTCTGCAATACCGGATCCGTGACCGTGACATCTGTCACCCACGTTTCCCCTGACTCCTGGTCTCGGATGGCCAGGTCTGCCCGCTTTCGGAGGACGGGGGGAGAGAAAGCCGTGGTTTCATGGAACGTCTTGTAGCCCGCATCCCTGGCCATCCTGAGAGCCGCGAAAACCAGGGCGTGGTGGGTCCTTACGGCGTCCCCGCCATCCCCACACCGCAGGAGGTGATTGGGGAGGCTCTTATCGGCGATCGTCGCGTTGTCCCGCTTGCACGGACACACCTCGGCGACCGGCAGCTCCATGCCCAACCGCAGGCCCAAGGCCATCGAGAATTGACCAGGGGATAAGCTAAGGTCTCCTCTCGTTGGGATGGCATGGAGCCAGTCACCCGCACCCACCCCCTTGAGGCTGATGAGGCGGATGGCGTGGCCCCTGTCCTCCCCCGGCCGGTCCTGAAGTGTGTCTGCTAGGAGTTCCAACGCCCGCCGCTGGTTGATAGACTTGGACAGCCCCAGCTGTAGGTTCCCAGTGCCCAGACCCCCTGCCCTGTACTGCTCTAGTGTTGCTCGGGCTTCAGCAGGGAGGTTACCCTCCATCGTGGCTCTGGGGTTGGTCTCAGGTGGCAGTGGGGCCCACTCGTGGGAGAGGAGCTGTGTCGCCCGGCTCAGGAGGCAGTCCGTTGGCAGGTTCAGCTGCCTCAGTAGGATGTGTGCCGCCGTGACTGAAGCCAGGTATGCCGCGGGTGCCTCAGAGATAGGGTCGATCACCCCGAGGCCACCCAGGCGGATGGGGAGTGTCCCCTGACGCCACAGCAGGCTCTGCTCAAGCTCGGAGGTGGGGATCCGTAGTTTCGCCGCGGTGAGCGCCGATCCCAGGAGAGCCTCACTCCACTCCCTCCATTCTCGCGCACTCAGTGTAGAAGCCGGGGTCGTCCGAAGCATGTACGAGATCCGCCGTGAGATGCTGCGTGAGACCATAAGGAGCGCGTGCTGCGGGTTCAGTTGTGAAATGAGGGGGAGCGGTGATGCCGCCTCCCCCAGCGCCGCCCGTACGTGGTCCGTGCAGAAGTCATCAGACCCAACTGGGCTGCCCAACACCTTGATTCCTCCCGGGTTCGCGGTCAGCCCCAGCGGTAACTCCTCCTGCTGCTCGCTCGCGTTCCTCCCCCAGGCCGTTGATTTGGCAATGTTGCATCGCAGTCCTGCCTTTCCCAAAGCCGCAGCGATCGTGTCGAAGGCGAGGCAGGCGGCTTCACGTGGGCCGACAATCGTAATGTCGTCG